AACTGTTGTATATTAGGCAGTCCACCGGTTGGCGTGGGGAAGGCCAACAGGCATATTGACTTGCTTACAAATAGGCCGACCCCAAAGGGGCCAGAGGTCACGCAATCCCGCCAGTGGCCAACCTCCGGGAGATCCAATGCGGTTAGCAGCGAACGGGCAGGTCAAAGTTCGCGCGTCCACCATGGCTATAATAAGAGGCAGACGGCAAGACCGACTAACTCGAGCCCACCGGACGCAGCAACTACAGTAATCTTATGATGAAGGCGAGAATGGTTCCGAAACGTCAGTAAAAATATAATTCGGTCCCCGAACTCGTCACCCCTTCTTCTTCTTCTTCTTCTTCTTCTTCTTCTTTTTTGGGGATGCTGAACGCAATGGGATATCGGAATCTCTAATTTTTACGCATAGCTCTACTATATTTATATATGTATAACCCCCCACATAGACCTTATTTAAGTATAGCTCCATTTACTTACACTGATTAGCAAGCCCCCAGTGCTTTCCTGATGGCTTAACATTCATTCAGAGGGATGCCGAGGCAGTTTTTCATCCATCTATCAATTCCATCGAATAAGACGGTTGTTTAATGAGCTTGAATAGAAATTAAAATGTCAATAGCTGCAAGCAGACGTTAGATGCGTTTTTATTTAGTTTTTGCGCCAGCGACTGGAATGTTTCTGAGTCCCTGATGTCCCATGTTCTTCCTTTACCATCAAGGACCTGTCGAAGAAACGCCCGTGCCTGTCGTCGAAATGCCGGCCGAAAAGCTCCCACCAATGAAACCGCCCCAATTTACAACTATTTTGCACACACTTAACACACCCTGTGGCCAGCCCACTACGTAAGTAAATTAAAAATCCCTGCTATTACCGAAATACCTACGTAAGCCCTTAACTAAACTGAATAACCTTCACTGGGTGTATTGTAGGTTTGAAGTGGACTTCCTCGGCGAACCACTACCGGTTGTGGTCTGGTACAAGGATGGTGTTGAGGTGCTCAACGAGGTACCATGTGAGGTAGGCATCTGTGGATTTTGCATCCTTTTAACTTAAAAACAATGCCGTCCCGTACTCACAGTTGCTACTTTTGACGTTAAGGTGACGAGCGCGCCGAACCGGAGCGTCCTTCTGATACCCAACACACAGCCGCAGCATGCCGGAGTGTACTCGGCTGTTGCAACAAACCCTGCCGGGCAGGCAACGACCACTTCAAGACTCAACGTCGTCCCTCAACCTATTCGTAAGTCGGGAGCTTTAGGATGTGCTTCATCTGAAAAACCCCTAAGTAACGACACCGAACTGCCTGACTTTGGCAATAATCGCAAAGCATCCAGTTCAGTTCAGTTTTATTAGGGAAATCTAGGTAAATACCTTTGAACTCCTTCTTTGTACATAGCTATGATGCAGAACAT